AAAAAACAAAGAAAAAAAAAATACAAGGATTATGAACAAAAAACAGATCCATCGTAAACCAAATATTCACACACCCAAAAAAAAAAAAAAAAAAAGAAACCATCTCTTATCACAAAGGTTACAGAAGAGAAAGTTATGTTCTTCCCCTTCCTCAGCATTCAGTAACAAACTACAATCAATTGGCAAAGAAGCTTTGCAAAGTGGCAGTCATACACAGCACACCAATTGGTCTTTGTATATCCGGTCCTGGGCTTCCTCCAAAATGAGCACACTTATTTTATGTGACCCTCACTAGAGTAAAAGGCGCCGACTGTTATGTTGGTTGTTTTAATCACACAAAAAGGATTATATATTTTGTATGTGCCATCATCAAGATCATAAGAGAAAAGTTGAAAGTACAGAAATGTTGAGATCCAAATCCAAATGAAAGATTTTTTTTTTTTTTTTTAAATGATGATTTTTTTCAACTTTTTCTTTATTACGTTCAATCGACATGTAATTGTCAATAACACCAGATTATTGTGTTAAAGTACTTAAGTCGTTCACAACTTAAGACTACCCCAATAACTCACTTGTCATCAAAGCATGTGAAGACATTATACTCAGAGATTAAAAAATATAATAATAATAATAATTCCTCCATCAAAGTTTACAGATGCACACATTAAACATACTGGTAAGGCAGTTAGTTCATAGCCAGATGATATAAACGTTTCATTGGCATGGTGAAAAAGTTTTCAAAGCATGCTTGAAATAAACACTTCACAATACAATTAACCACTTTCACAGAATAATTAACCCTGCACAGGAAACATCTTTTTCTTAAAATGTTCATGTGTTTATATTTGATTTTAAACAAGAAAATATAAATGGGATTACACACACCACACCAATTCAATGTTTACATTAATGGCTTTGTCACCAAGTTTTGATATGATTACAAAGAGTCTAAACAAAACAAAAAAAAACATATTGAAGCAACATTAAAAATAGGAATTCTGTGCTGGGCTGGAACATTGTACAGACAGTGGATAATGAAAGCACAACAATTGCTTTGCTGTTTTTTCCTTCCGCAGGTTTTAAAAATTGTGCTAAGCAATAACTCTTATATAAATTTATGTATGCCTAATTGAGAAATGAGAATCCCCAAATAACCCCACCATGGTTTTATGTCTTCTCTACTTTCACAGTATGTAAATCCACAATGACAAACTATGATGGCTACTTTTAGGTGGGGCGGAGGATAAATGCTGTGTCCCTTGCTTAATAACTTATTTAGCCGATTGGAAAATGCTGCTAGAATTACATCAATGCAACACCAACTTCAGCAAATTAAATCCAAGTTCATTAAGTAGGGATTATGTTATTCGGGTCAGGTCAAGTACATAATCTCAATTCCTGTTATGACAATTAATTGTATATAAAAATCTTAACAACAAACCAACAGTGTAAAACCTCTTTTTTTTTTTTTTTTTTTTTTTTTTTTTTTATAAAAGCTTTTGTAAATTAAACCAATCATCAAATTTTAGATTAAAAAAAAAAGTAATGTTGAAACTTAAGAATTGTTCCATGTTTTTATTTTATATGACATTTTTATTTTTTTTTTTTTTTTTTTTTTTTTTTTTTTTTTTTTATAAAAGCTTTTGTAAATTAAGCCAATCATCAAATTGTAGATTAAAAAAAAAAGTAATGTTGAAACTTAAGAATTGTTCCAAGTGTTTATTTAAAATGACTTTTCAACCCTCCAAATGTTAACAAAAACTGCTTGCTGCAGTGTATAGAAACAAAAATCAAATCTCAATTTGCCATTGCAAAGGAAAAGATTAGAACATTTAGATTAAGAAATGAGATACAATTAATTAATCATCTCTGAAGGAAAAAGATAAAATTTGATTTAGTTTTAGTATGGCAGGGGTAAACTTACTGCAAATGTTTTGCACAATTACGGTTTACTCATGGGTGATGGTTATTCAGATAAATTCTCAAAAGTACAAAAATATCCATTTTGAGATAGTACACTGATGAAATGAAGCCCTCCCCCACACTCTCCAAAACTAAAGTCAAATGCTTGTTACAACAAAACTGTGAAATGCCACTGATCTGTTTAAGCTAAATATGCTTGGCTCTGAAAAGGGACTCGATTAAATAACTATTAGTTACTATTAGTTCATATTTATATAACACATTACTCTACTCTTATTCATATTTATGGGAAAAACTTGTTTGACTCTGATATTCTTCAATTTTACTATCATAATATTAGCTTCTATCTCAAACTAAAAAAGAGCTATTAGTACTTAGCGCTTGAAAATACAAAGCTAAGGCTTTTGTTCTTTTATAATAAAAAAATATAAAAAATTCATATTGAGGTTTGAGTAGAGATTTAGCAATTGCTAAAGGAAAAACTAAAACAATGAAATGTGGCATATTGAGGCTCGTTCAATCCATAAAAAAAACCAGCATGTGGCAAATATTAGTTGCATTAAAGTTGTTTTCTTAAAACTCTTTTCATTTTCTATCTATATTTTTAAAAATATTGAATTCAATTGCGTAAGCCATTGAAGGTAAGAGAACGTTAGCTGAACAGGAAGGGGCGGGGGAGTTAAACAATAGATAGATTTTCTAGAAAGATCCTGGCATTAAAATTCTGTTTCTTTCCTACCAAAAGGTTTAATTACAGAATTCCCATAGGAGAGGTGTCAGCTTTGCTTATTAAATTTCCCATTTAAAATGATGCTTCAATGGTCATGACAATGAAAATAATATTAACAAGACTAAATATGGTAATGGTGAGACTGATGACGATGATGGCGGTGCTGGACTGGTGGTCTTGCTGCTCAAGCTGCTGCTGCTGCCTAGTGACTTCGAGGCGGGCGTGACATCATGCATTTCCATTCTGTTTCTGAGCAACATAGTCACTGTAGGCAATGGTGATTTTTTCACTGCGGTAGCGGGTCATTCGTATAGACTTTCGCACCTCAGGAGTGATTGGTCCCTTGAAACCTCCTTTACGGAGGAGAGAGTCTATTGTCTGCACCCTGTCCCAGCCTGGCCAAAATAAAATTTAGATATGTTTAAAACTTATGAAATGGAAAATAAAACTATTTTAAATTTTTATAAGTCAATTCTAACTCAAATTTTTTATTTTGATTAATATTTTATTTATGAGTGACAATCAGAAAATGGAAATTTGAATGAGATTATAACATTACTTTAGACTTAAAGATTTTTACAAATTTATGAATCAATGTAGACATGGAAATTTTTAAAAAGAGTTAAATTTCAGTTAAATTTGATTTTTTTAGCCAAAAACTATGCCAGTAATTAGGCATTCAAATTTAATCTCTTATGCATATGGTATTAAAATGGCCTACATATTCAATCTGGACTTCATAACATAACTAGCTAAAATATAATAAATGAATGAGTTCTCTGTTGAGCATATTTGACACAAAAAATCTTTTTCATGAATTTTCTATTTTCGTTGAGAAAAATTTGAAGCCTTAATTCATTACACTTAATATCACCTTGTTCAACTGCTACCTCGGGAAGATATGTTGCAGTCTTTTTGTGACCTTTTTCATTAATAAATTCAATGCGAATTCCATGGGCACCCAACTGAAAATTAAGAAGCATTTCGGCATTGTTCAATTAAAAAGGTAAAATATTGCACTAATATTTTACCTCACAGGAATCAAAGTATGAGTTGAATAGTAAATGGATCACTTTTGTTTTCAAATTTGCCACTAATGTATTTATTAAGCTCACATTTAAACAATTGTTTTTTTTAAAAACTGATTCATTAAAAAAAAATTATGAATCAAGAATATTATTTAATTTTTATTTAATGTCTCTCTTAACCTATTCCACATGCCCCTTACCCCCGACCAATTTACTACAGCTTGAGGTTACCCTAGCCATTGACATAAATTGTGATTGAAGCTCTGCTAGTACTCCTCTCAAGCATGGAACTGCACACCTCACCTAATCCCAAAATGCTCAGCCTACAACTTCATTTAACCACATCCTCCAACTCAATACGTTAATTTCTCTCTGTCCGCCTTCTCTAATGCCCGTGACTCATTCACTCACTCACTCCCACCTCCCAATCTAAGTAATCCATGGCCTCCTCAAAATGAGTAAGAAGAGAGACTGAACAATGAAGTTTCGGAAACTCTTCTTTCGTAATTGGATCAAACCGACTGTCTTTCACTGCACTGAAACACATAAAATAACATTGGATCACACCTGCAGTTATTTTTTGTACTTTCAAATAATTTTTTTAAAAATATGCTTAATTATACAATTATTCCTTGTCTTAAGACAATCTGACTTTATAATCATCACACTTAGAAATGGGGCTATGTAAAACACACACAAAGAACATTTCATAAGTTTGCTGTGGTAGCCAGTGTATATAAATAACTACTGGTGTACTGAAATTTAAATGAGTAATCCTTAAATAGGGATTTTGATTATTATAATTTTGCATAATATGTCGTCTTTTTTTTAATGACATGTTATAAGATCATTTATAACATACTATGTAGAATCTTGTCACTTAAAACTAATGACCAAATCTGCTACAGTAACAGAGAAATTGTTTGATATAAAACTGTCTTAAGTCAAAGACTATATAGTATATTAAACATAATCAAGCAAATTTGAGTTCATTTGAAAACAAAATTCTCTTCCCATTATTTGAGGGATTTTTTTAACATCAACCAGCAATATAACTTTAATCTTCCATCACTCAATTTTTCTATAATGCAAAAAGTTGCAAATTAAATAGCTAGTGTTGGTCCCCTTAAAAATTTGATGGATGTCACACAATAAATGTCCTGGCTAGGAATTTAACCCGAGTCAATAGGTTTAAATTCATGCACATGTGATTGTAATGGAAATTTTGTTGGACACAGTTTATTATACTTTATCATTTAAACCAGAAAATTCATCTTAAAATTATTTTGTCAAGGCAATTTGTAATTTACCTGGTAATTGCATATTCCCTAAGTCCACTGTGAAGAGAGGTGGGAGAAAAAGTACCTATACACCCCCGCAAACGTCTTTCTCTTCCTAGCTGCCACGTCACAAACAGAGGGCTGGAAATAAATAATTGTCTATTTAAAATAAATATATTTAGGCACATATATTTAATCCAAACAGATAATTTTTAAAAAGATGTGGATCTGCCTCAATGGGGGCACTAAGGTTGGTGTTGGGTTTTACTACCACTGCTGTCCACACCGCTGCACCCCTAGTGAGACTACTGATCTGTCACTACGTACTGAGCCACATTAAAGAAAAAAAAAGAGCATGTCAGGTTTTTCAGTAAGGAAGAAAAAGTTATTGAGCGAAAAAATTGCAAATTATGTTGGGGGCTGGAGAGGTGGCTTTCTGTAACAAGAAATTCACATCAGGTCAAACTGAAAATTTAAATGGAAATCGCTCAATCATGAACGCTATTTCATTTGCAATATATAATTTATAGAATCAAAAGTAAGTTCAATCTGTATATGTTATTAATTATTAATATGAATTGTAAAAGTTTTACAAATTTCGATTACCAATCCTTTTGACCAAAAATTGTACCTATAGAAAATATAGAAAAAGTATAGAAGTTATAAATAATGAGCCCCTAGACTCAATACAATCAATGTGAGGCAACCTGACCAAATTGAACTATTGTAAAATAAAATTGCTCAACTACGTCTCTGATTTAGACTATGGTAGTTTAAATATATTGAGTCTAAGATTGATAGGAAAAAAATTTTAATTTCTGGTCATGGAGTTTGGATTTTTTTTAAAAATGATACTGTTTGGGGACTTTCAAGCTTCTTTTTAAAATTTTCAAGCATCAATATTTTTACTTAATGTAAAATAGGCCATGCCAAAAGAATGCCATGCCTATTATGCCTATAAAATAGTAGGCCTCATACAGGGCAGGACTTAGCTAACGAAAGGCAAAAAGATAATTGACTTGAAGCCTGGTGGTATCAATTTTCCATTAACATTGGAATGTAAATATTTATTTCAATATCACCACAATATGCATCATTTACTTTTAAAAAATTATTTGTGATTAAATTTGCTAAAAGTCTCATTTTCATTGATACATTTTTTCAAGTAATCATTTTTTTAATCACTGGAATCTAGAAATGTGGAGCCTTACATTTTGAAGGCCCTGGGCTGAAGCCTACTTTGTTACCAGAAATGAAATGGGATGATGTGATTGGTAGTTATTGGAAATGAGTCACTAAACAGAGGATAAAATATACATAAGTGAGTATGGTTTTTGCGGATATGTCAGGGATTAAGTGGTCTAGAAAAGTGACCATGTTTGAGAAAGGGTAGCAGAAAAATTCTAAGAGACAGTTAATCTGAGTTAATAAGACGGCACAAACTAACATAGTATGCCGTCTACTGTTGAAAAATTCTGCCATTCTGGAATTATAACGTGTTAGGGGCAATAACGGAAAGGGTGATCTGGGCGACCAGTGTTTCGATAATGAAAATCAAGCCCGTGTTCTTCAGAAGATGCTGCATTTTCTCAACAATAGCTACCACAGACATCCTTCAAACTCAAACACAACTTTTTTTTGCCTTTTGCTTAGGTATATTTTGCATAGGTATATTTTTGTAACAAATACAGGTTGGAGTATGCTTGACTGAACCAGATTTGCGAGCCATTTCTGGCTATGGTGTATAAGGATCAATATTATTTAAGGAATGTGTTGTTCTCACTTTTGCTAACTCATTCCAGCTGATAGAGTATCTTTCAAGAACTATACTACTTTGTGCTGTCTTTTGTTTCATCTCTCTCTGAATTATTTAGTGACATTTTTTTCAACGTGGCCGTCGTGGCCACCCTTTAAGTTCTTCGCCTATGAGAAAAAGTAATGCAAATCTATAAATACTACTCTCCATTGAGAGATCCATTTGCAACAACTGCCCAACATATAAATATAAGGCTTATGCGATTTAGAACATTGTCATTAAATCTTATATTTTGAGCTGGCAACCCTCACTTATTAAAATGAAGAAAATAATAGTGAATGACATGGGAATGGAGGAGTTCCTATAACAAGAATATATAATTATATAACTGAACTTACTTGACTTCAGTAATAAAACCTTATGAGCCTTGCCTTATGCATTTAAAATCCTCCTTTATAAATTATAATTTAAAATTAGATTAGGGCCTAGTTTAATTTATATTTGTATATACAATATTTCAATTGCATGAATGCATGCTAATTGTATTGTTGAAATGGTTATTCCATGAACTATTAATATAATAATAATAATAATAATAATATAGAACTGAATTAATTATTTCCTTGATGTACGTAATGTCTATTTTTAAACTAAGACCACATGCAGGAAACCTTCTTTGTGCTGAAATATTGCAAAATCCTAATGAGATGAGGTAAATGCTTTGACCCCTATAAATGAAAAATGAACTCGCCCATATTATAATATACAACAACAACATTGCCAATTAATGGACCAAAACAATCATATTTTCATTTCTTAAGTCATAAAAATAAAAATGAAAAATTATGTCTATGTAGTTTTGAGTTTTTAGAAATGAGGAGATAATTTTAAGTTAATTTAGGGGTGACATTGTTAGCAAAATTGGGTCATACTTACTATGCCTCATTTGTAAAGGGTGGGGTAGGTCTTGGAGGTTCATAGTTGTGAAGATGACTGTGTAGTACATCAAAACAAAAAAAACACATCTCTGGAAGAACTGCAGAATAACCATTCTTATGATAGCTTGAATGACCTGCTTGTGAATTACCATTACAAATGGAAGGCATAGAGTTGTTGAGCTTCTGTTTCTTTACCCCACAGCAGTTGCTCGCCATGTTTAGATATAATGTCTCGCTAAATCACGCGCGAGGCAAACTTCGGGTGATTTCGACTTTGCTTCACTAACATGGATAAGCCTTATCTTATATTTATTATATTAATTGATGAAGTTACAAAAAATCATGGACATATTTTTATTTATTTTTTAACCTTTAATATTTGAAAATAATAATTAAAATGTTTGAAAAAATTTACTCGTATCATTTAATTGAAATTTAGAATTTATATTAAGTGTCTGTTGAAAAGGAATAACACGAGTTACAATTATAATTCAAAGGAAATATTTTTCTAAAATCATCTTTAAAAAATAACATATTGCAGGACGTAAATCACAATTATTGATGATTTTTCAAGTAGTATCTGCGAAACATTCAATGTCTTTGTTATCCATTACATACATACATTAAATGGATACTTACAGTTACAGCCTTAGGCTTAGCCTTAGGTTCTCTGAAACTAAAATGTAACTGGTCTTGTTGGAACTTAAAAATTCAAATCCACATGAATGTTAAATGTATAATTATAAAGACTTTTCTTAATATAATGTATGTCGTTTGTTTGTTGTGTAGATGTATGTTACTGCTGTGGGTACACATTATTCATGGCTGACAAAACACTTTTTAATTGCAACTCTACTCCTGACAACTAATGTAAAATGTTGCACATTATCCGGTACAGGAAATAAAATGCTCTTGCCCTTTAAATAATCAGCCCCACCCCCCTAACTCCATCCCCGAAAATCATTTTTTTCATGATTTTTAAAAGTGAAGATGAAGGAAATATGATTACACTGATTTCACGAAATAAAATTCCCGATAACTGCTCAAAATGAGATTGGTAAAAATATCGCAAGTGCGTTGAGTGTGTACTATTTTCTTTTTGTTTTTTTGTTTTTTCCGAAATAGCCGGTGAAATAAATCTGCGGTGTAAAAGCGGGTGGGTCATTAGAATATTAATATAGTTCAGGGTGTGAAAAAATGTGCGGTTGCGAGCCTTTGGGGGGGGTGGGGGAGTGCCGTCTTAAGGCATGGGCCCACTGGCCAAGGGCCCCACGCCTGTAGGGGGCCCCGCGCTTCTAGGAGACTCACTCTTATAAAGGCATCATGTTGCATATATTTATAATGAATGGTAAAGATTTTGGCAATTTAATTTGATTTAAACGTCAGTGGACAGTTTGTTTCCCAATTTTAATTCACGATATTATCGGTACATTCCAAAATTAATAATATAACTGCGAATCACAATTTGGATGGATACTTCATAAAGGGAAATAACTCTCGTTAACAAATTTTATGTCTTCCAGATATATGGTAAAAAAAAAAAAAAAAAGTAAACATTTGTTTTTATATAAATGTTAGACACAAATGTTGGCACCAGCCGGTAATAGTCCTAGATACGCCACTGCTCAGTAGTGAAATGAGTGAATAAACGTCAGGGACTGTTTCAGCCCCCCCCC